CTTTAAAGCCTGGTATGTTTACATAATTCCACTGTTTTCTATTGAAAAAGCAAAAACAATTTCCATAAAATACATTTCAAGGAATATTTGATTGTTGTTTTTATTAGGCCCTTAGATGAGTCAATGATTGGCAGCAACATGTGTTTTTGTTTATTTTTTTGTAATGTCAGATTAAAAGAAAACAAAACCTGACACCCGTGATCCTAAGGACAAAAAATGGCAGCTTCACTATGATGTAATATTTTTTCCTACTTTAAATGACTCAGTCTTTTCAAACTACTTCAGAGTAAAATGCAACTATTAAATATATTTAATCATATTTTAACCATATAAAGGCCCGTATGTTTACGTAGCTCTACATGGAGCAAATGGACAGACTGCTGTCTTTGCAATCAAGGTTCCCATATGGTGCTGCCAGCTCGTCTCTTTCTGTCTGTGCAAAAGTCACACTGCCCTTAAGTTTGATGATGAGAGGGGCTCGCAGCAGCACCCTGCAGATTTGAACTGATTCATTTTTTTTGACTCTAAGATATGGAGTCAGTCCGACCTGTCACTGCTTCAACCATCTCCTCTCCACTCTCACCTTCAGATGGGTTAGTTGAACTTCAGCTGGTCTGTTTCTACCTCTGATGCCTCCTCCATGTCAGCCTCGGACTCCTCAGAGGAGGATGAGGTGCCGTCTTCACACTTACAGTGCACGATCGTTTCCAGAGCCTCCTTTGTGCTGTAAAGTCTTGCACTACTGCTCAGACTTCTAACCGTGGCTGCAGTCCAGCTGCACAAACGACCAATATTGTTTTGGTTCTTGACGTTGAGATATTTTTCAAGCTCTGAAAGGTTACTCATCATTTACTGTTATTAAATGAGCTTGAAACGCAGAGTGTGGCCTTCGAAGAGAAAAGGCTTGAAGGTGGTGTTTTGGTCCCCACAGAGATATGAATACACGCTCAAACACACACCATTATCTAACATCAATAATGGCACACTTATCATTTCCCTTGCAGGAAACAGAAAAAGTGTGACATTTTGCG